ATATATCTTTTTCCATCATTTAAACTTTTCTATATCATCTTGTTTTAAATGTGACTCTAAGCATCATGTAGTTATTAGATATATGTTAAATTTAATTGTACCTTCCTTGATTCTTAAATTTTCTTTCGAATTTTTTATCTCTTTATCTCTGTTTTTCCATCTGAGGTCACATCCTCAGACTTGTCTTCTAGTTTACTACTTCTTTCTTAGCTGCATCTAATCTGATGTTTAACCCTACATTCTTAGATGTTATATGTAGCCTTCTTGTCGTCTTTAAAAATGTTTTAAATTTTTTCTTCTTGGTCTAATTATTATAATATTCTTCACAGATATTTTGACTATTAAAATACCCTGTTATAGTATTCAGAATTATGCTATAATTCTTTTAAGGCTCAAAGCCTGTTACATTTATGTTCTTTTTGTTTTGTTTGATTTTTAAATCTTGGAGAAGTGCCTTCTGATTCTCACTTTGGGTGAGTTTTTCACATGTTCTTGTAAGTTTGAGTGAACTCATCTTCATGAGGGTTTATCTGTGGTAATTCTATGAGGTCGAAGGCAGGGTCCTTGAGAGTTTCTGTCTTTATCTCTGCCACGTATTCCTAGATTATCACAGCCACAGTACAACTTCTCATTCCTTACCCTTAACCTCCTCCCCACAAAGTTCAAAATTTTGCTTTTATTTTAAAGTAATTAGGGATTCACAAGAGATTGCAAAGCAATGTACAGGGAAGCCTTGTGCACCCTTTCTCCAGCTTGCCCAGTATTAACATCTTATACACCTATAGTGCAGTATCAAAACCAAGAAATTGACATTGGTACATAGAGTTTATTCACATTTCACTAATTATACGTGCACTCTGGTGTGTGTGTGGCTCTGAGCAGTTTTGTCACACATGTAGCCCATCTGCACAGTCAAGATATTCAACTGTAACGTCCTAAGATTCCCTTGTATTACCCCTTTATAGCCACACCCTCCCCTCTCCCTGTCCCTGATCCCTGGCAACCTCTTATATATTCTCCATCCTATAATTATGTTATTTTATGAATGTTTCATAAATGAAATCATGCTATGTGTATCCTGTTGAAATTGGCTTTTTCACTCAACATAATTTTCTTGGGGTTCATCCAAGTTGTTGCTTGCATCAAGTTTGTTTTTTATAGTAGCTCATGGCATTCACCCAGTGAAGACATTTGGGTACTTTCCAGTTTGGGGCTATTACAAATAAAACTACTATGAACATTTGTTTCCCACATCTGTTAAAGAAAAATTTCAGATACCACTTAATGTTGCCAAAGTACCTTGGTTCTATGTTGCAATGTTTTCACTGTAAACTGTAATTAAAGCATATTTTCATTTTTATATTTCTGTGAATTAGTTATGAAGAAATAGTTTTTTGGGGATGGTAATTTTAACGAATCTTCTTGTTTTATGATTTCATTATATGACTTTTCTATAGATAGGGAAAACTGAAACTTAGCTCACTCAAGTCAGTCATTGGACAACTTGAGTGTTCTAATGCCATGCTTATATTTTTTTCAACAGTGATTATTACTTTGGAATAAAAAAAATCTATTAGTGTTTTTTAGGAGAAAGACTGTGACTGACAATCTGTTGAATAGTGTATGTGTTAAACATTTGTGTGAATATCCTTTGTTTAGGAAGTCGAGGCACGAGAGGTTCTCAAATTGAGAGTCACGGTAGTAGTAGCAACTATCATGACAGCTGGGAAACTCGAAGTAGCTATCCTGAAAGAGACAGATATCCTGAAAGAGACAACAGAGATCAAGCAAGGGATTCTTCCTTTGAGAGAAGACCTGGAGAGAGAGAGCGTCGTGACAACAGAGAGAGAGGTTTGTCAAATGGAATTTTATTAAATAGTGACCAACATTAGTTGGGGGAATTGTTTTTTAAAACAGTTATCAATTCACTTATTAATATGAAATATATTCTTAAGACCTGTGCTTGGTGACACATTTGAAACTATTTACTCATATAATCTTCCTTTGTTCATTTGGTTTAGGAGGGATTATGTAAATAGCTAGTGACCAGTACCTACTGGTAACAGAGTGCAAGAACTGAGATGCCCTGCTGTGAGTCTCTCATCTTGACCAAATAGCTCACAACCCTTTACAGAATGTAGATGGCTGGATGCCCTCCAGGCAATTCAGATTCAGATAATACCTAAACCTCATCTAAGTATCCTCTGGCTGCTCACTCATTAGCTGTAATCCATAGAATTTTATAAGGACTGCCAAAGAGGATCAAGAAGAAAATGATGATAGGGCTGGGAATTGTTTCTAGAAATATTTTGTTTATATTCATTCCATCCTGAGAATATATAATATTTGCTTTAGCTAATTTTATATTTTTATGTGTCTTAAGTTAAAACTTTTCTGTTAATTTATTAGATGATCTCTTACAGAAATCAAATTTGAAGCAAGATTACTAGGAAGCACTTAAGAAAGGTTTTTTAAGTACTTTCTTTGGCAAGTGCTTATTGTCTATACATATTAGGGCCTTTAAACACTTAAAGTTTTATGAAGATCTTAGCTTGGCTGATTACTAAAGTAAGGTTCACTATAATGCTGAGATTAATATAGTTTAAAAATTGGTGGACCAGAGAATTGAATATTAATGCTTTACTGTGAGCTGAATCAAAGAGGTAATATTGTATCTTGATATGGGCAGTAATGGGAGGAGAACAAAGTCTCTAAGACACCATCCACTTAGGGAAGCATAGATAAGATCAGAAGCAGGAGAGTTGGTTGGGTTGAGTTGATTAAGGTAAGCCCTGATGCATTTGGGTTAAAAGATGTGTAGGATTTCCTCAGTTACAGATAGGGCTGCAGTTTATATGTTCTGTGTTGATACCTAAAATTGTTTCTTCCTTGGCACTTTGATTTACCTCTCTTTAGTAATAATGTCCTGGTGATGTTTTTTTTTATTTATGTCTTACTTTTTTTCTTTTTTCTTATTTTCATATCCTACCTTGCTCAGGTTTTTTCACCACATGCCTGAATTCAGTAGTAACATTTGGTTTCAATCTTATAGTTAGTTCAACCACACATACTGAGCTTCTGCTAGGTGCCGAGAATTTGGATAGTTGCTTTACATATATTCTGACCTTAATCTTTGCAATATCCCTATAAGTGTAGGGATATTGTGATCGTTGTTTGCTTTCAAGGAAACAAAGAAGCAACCCAGATGGAAATTAAGAAAAAAGAGAGGGAGCTACTTCAGACTGCTTATAAAAAATTTGAGATGATTTTTATGCAGAGGCATAAATGCAAGAGAAAAGGCTAGCTTTGCAAAGATCGAGGGTAAAAGAGGAAAGAGTATGTGCAAATTCCCTGAGATGGCAGATAGCCTAATATTTCCTAGAATTTGAAAGAAGACTGATGTGGCTGGAGAATACTGAGCAGTAGGGAGATTGTTAGAAGTAGAAGGTAGAGATGTGCCCAGGCACCTTGTTCTGTGCTTGGGGATTTAAATCTTCCTTTTATTTCTTATTTCTAAGCACAAAACTGTCTGCCCTCTGTACCCCTGAGTTCTATATCCTCAGATTCACCCAACCACAGATCAAAAATATTTGGAAAAAATAGCAATACAACAAAAAGATATATAAATTTAAAAAAATAAAGTATAACAATGAAATAGCATTTACATTGTATTAGGTATTATAAGTAATATAGAAATAAAGTATACAGGATGCTGTATATAGGTTATATGCAAATACCACACCATTTTATATAAGGGAGTTGAGCATCCCTGGGTTTTGGTATCCTCAGGGTCCTATAAACCAGTGGTCCCCAACCTTTTGGGACCAGTTTCATGGAAGACAATTTTTCCATGTGGGGAAGTGGTGGTTTCAGGATGATTCAAGTGCATTACATTTATTGTGCACTTTATTTCTATTATTATTACATTGTAATATATAATGAAATAATTATACAACTCACCATAATGCAGAATCAGTGGGAGCCCTGAGCTTGTTTTCCTACAACTAGACAGTTCCATCTGGGGGTGATGGGAGACAGTGACTGATCTGACAGGAGGTGGAGCTCAGGCTGTGATGTGAGCTCTGGGGAGCGGCTGTAAATACAGATGAAGTTTTCCTCATTTGCCCTTTGCCCGCTGCTCACCTCCTGCTATACGGACCTATCTGTGGCCCAAGGGTTGGCGACTACACCTGTAAACAGTCCCCCATGGGTATAGATAGACAATTGAAGTATGATAAATGCTACTACCATATAAAGTTCTGTGAGAAGACAAAGGAGCAAACACAATTCTAAGGAATTCCAAGAAAGCTGCCTAAAGAGGTGAAATCTGAATTAGGGCCTGACAGATATACAGGAGTTGATAAGGAATAATGGAAGAAGCACTTTGCAGGGAGAGGGTGCAGCATGTGCAGACAGGATTGAAAGAAACAGATGCTTTGGAGTAGTAAAGAATTATGTTGTGAGGTTAGAGTCAGAGGCATGCTATGATTGGCAGGGACAGAAAGAAGCTGGGGGAAAGGACTGGTGAGAGACTATCGGCCAGCTTATAAATGACCTAATAAGTTAGGCTAAAAATTATGAATTTAATTGCCTTTCACTGCCTATAAGGTAAATTCTTTTAAGCAGCTGGAAGAAGTAGAGTTTTCAACAAAAACATGCTAAGAGTGTAGGGAAAGACTGAAGATAAGGATACCAATCATATTATTATTTTTTTTCAGTTACACTATTGATGACAGTCATCTAAGAAGAGTTTATCATGGTCTGAGTTATTATTACTGTAGAGATGGGGACAGGAAAAGTAATAGAGAAATATTTTGGAAGTGAAGTTGATGGGACTTAAATAACTCAGAGATTGCCAGCTTCCATGAATTGCTGTGTCACTCGTTAAGATAAGGAAATATGTGAAGAGAAGCACATCTTTGAATAACACATTTTGGAGGAACAATAGGGAAAATAGTTTAGACATTAAAGTGATAGTCTTACATCCTTTCCATTTTCCTTTGAAGTAAGAAGCATTGTCATTTTGGTTGGGAAAATAAAGGTTTTATCTGCCAAAAAAGAATGAGTAATAATCAATTCCCTGATATATCTATCCATAATCAGAAATTTCAAGTATGAATTGCTATAAGTTGCAGTATTGAATTTGTTTCAGGTTATTTTCTAATCATTGTGATGTTGGTATGACCCCCGCCAAACTAGGAATTTAGACAATCTAAAACATGGATAGATAGCATTCTAGGCACCCAAAATGTGATATAATAGAACCATTTTAAATTTAAATTGGTTTTAACAAAAGTAAAAAGATTTAAGAAAACTGACTTCTAGTCCTAATATCCTAATGGATCTACCATCTCTGTGACTTTGGCAAGTGAACTCTGGACCATAACTTTTATGTTTTTAAGAAGAAAGGGGAAGAAAGGACTATATGGGGTTTTGTTTGGTTCAGCTTTAAAATTCTGTAATCTTGTATCTGGATCTGTAACTTCTAACTAGTAAATATGGATTATTCTTGTCTTTTTCATCAATGATAAGGAAGGAAAATTTAAATTACTATATTGAACCCTTTCCTAGAAATATCCTAAAATTATTCTTATTAAGTTGATATTAGATATTCCACTTACCAACCTTTTGGCCATATTGTAATATGATCTTTATCAACTAGCCAATATACATTATATGGTATGAAAATAGAAACATCACAGACGCCTAGATCATACCACAGTAGTCGCTTTTAAAAATGACTATCTCTTTGGGAAAGTTCATCCTCTTATAAATTTTTTGATCCCAGACTAATTTTCTGCTCAACTGGGTATTTGGGCAGCATATATGTACTCATTTTCTCTGTTTATGTGATTCTTGCATAGATTGAAAAAATATATATTATATGTGATGAGATTATCAGTTAATATTTTAAGAAAACAGCTCTTCATCTAACTAATCACTTATATGATTAAGTGAAACTTTTAATTTATTAGTTATTAATTATATATATAACTAATATGAAATACTTTTTTACATTTGATTATTTCAAGATTGCTAGACAGTACCCTTAATATTCTAGTTTATGATAAGAGATTGATATTGCAGCAACAAATTTTGACATATGTTTTGTTCTACTATATTTTCCTCACATAATAGCTGCACTTTGATGTGTATATATTTTGGCCTGAAGTTAGAGGTGTGACTTACAAGGGGAATTTTTTTTTCCTTCAGCTTCTATGTTCTACACCTCCTGCTGCCCCTATCCTTTGCCACCAGTGTTCTCAGGTCCTGCTGGGGGGACAGAGAAGATCAGAGGTGAAGGGTAGAGATGGCAGAAAGTGGGGTTGGAGCAGTGGGCTGGAGGTAGGGTAGGGAGCATGCAGAGAAAGATCAAAGGTGGATCAGTGGGAGGGGAGAGGGCGTTTGATGGGGAGCAGAAAACATGGTAGTTAGAGGGCAAATAAAAAAAAATATATTTTTAAAATGTCTAGCGGTGATGGTTATTTATATGATTAAATTAAAAGTAATATAGCGCCTGGTTAATAATTTGTTGCCAGTGTGACCCTATACGCAGATAAAATTTAAGATTTGCCATGCTATCTTACCAATAGGTTATCTGTCAAATTAATCACTGACAAAACTTGATTTTCATTGTAGATCAAAGACCAAGCTCACCAATTCGACATCAGGGAAGGAATGACGAGCTTGAGCGTGATGAAAGAAGAGAGGAACGAAGAGTAGACAGAGTGGATGATAGAAGAGATGAAAGGGCTAGAGACAGAGATCGGGAACGAGAAAGAGACAGGGAGCGGGAGAGAGAGAGGGAACGTGAACGGGATCGGGAAAGAGAAAAAGAAAGAGAACTAGAAAGAGAGCGTGCTAGGGAACGGGAGAGAGAAAGAGAAAGAGAAAAAGAGAGAGACCGTGAAAGAGATAGAGATCGTGACCATGATCGAGAGCGGGAAAGAGAGAGGGAACGAGACAGGGAGAAAGAGCGTGAGCGAGAGAGAGAAGAAAGGGAGAGGGAGAGGGAGAGAGAACGAGAACGGGAGAGAGAAAGAGAGCGAGAACGGGAGCGAGAAAGAGCAAGAGAAAGGGATAAAGAACGAGAACGTCAAAGGGATTGGGAAGACAAAGACAAAGGACGAGATGACCGCAGAGAAAAGCGAGAAGATATCCGAGAAGATAGAAATCCAAGAGATGGACATGATGAGAGAAAATCAAAGTAAGAATAGTTTTGAATCAGCTTTAAAAAGTTACATTTCAGTAAAGAATTTGAAAGTTTATTTAGTGTTTTTCAGTGTGCCTCTTAATTTCATGTTAATTCTTTTCACTCTCTACATTTTCCTGTATTTCAAATTTATATATTTGGCGTTTAAAGTCTTTTTAATTGTCTAGAAAAAAAATTTTTAATTCTACTATTTGTATCCAGGAGCTATAATTAATCCTTCTTGTTTACTATGCATTTTTGATGACACATGGGGTTGACTTGGCTGCTGCAGACTTTTTTTAAAACAGGAATCAGTGGACTTCTGTCTCATCACATCCCCTTTATAACTAGATAATGGTGTTGACTAGTCTCCAAGAGATATTGCCTGTGCCATTCCTGATAATCTTTCATGACTTGTTTGTGTTTGGAAGTACGGAGTGACCACCGCCAGGCTACAGGAAGCATTCACAATGACTTAGAGCTGAGTGAATCTCCCTCCCTAATCACTGCATGGCCGGAAGAAGCTGGGAGAAAAGGAAATGCCCCTCTTGTGCTGCGGAGTTATAGTAATTTATTGGAGTCAAAAGATGTGTTCTTGGCATCTCATATAATAAATCTGAAGGCATTCTCTCTCTCTCTCTCTCTCTCTCTGTCTCTCTCTCTGTCTGTCTCTCTCCCCCCCACTTCCTCTCCTCCCCCCCTCAAAAAAAAGAAATTATTTGCTCAAGTATTTGCGAAGTGGAGAGTTAGCTTTTGCTTGTTCTGATGTGGCTGTATCTGAATTCTCAAACAAAGCATTAGGAATGGTATCTCTCCATCTCTTTACTCTTTCACTCTGTGTTAGTTCAAATCTCAGAACTTTGTCCAAATGGCCCCAGGTTATCCCTTTCAGTTTAGCAGCCCTGTCTGTGTTGGTGCTTTCATTAGTTTAGGGGTAGACAGTGATTGGCTAAGCCGATCACTGTGGCCATGAGAATTCTGGACTCTTATTGGTCAATGTTGAGGTTTTACAGGCACAAAAACCAAACTTACTGGTGTTAGCTGCTCTTTTGATACCAACTGGGATAAAAGCTGCGGTTAACCTTGCTGAAACAAACTGAATTTCCTTGCCCCTACCTCCAGCTCATTTGCCTTAGGGTGAATGCAGCTCCCTGCTTTAGGCTTTTTTCATCCTTACTATTGTGGATTATGGTTGTAGGCAAACAACATAGCACACAAGTGAAGCCTTCTTCCATTAGGTCTTGACTGCTCTTTAATCTACAGCCAAGATTTTCTATAGTGCCCCCTCTGGCTCATTTTTTATGCTTCTTTCTCCCCTCATTTTGCAAAATCTTACATTAATGTAAACTTCAGAGATATTTCGTTTAACACATAAAGACACACATATATATTATTTCTGTTCCCTCCTCTGATCTCTTTAGCTCTTTATCTTCTAAGATTAAAATTCCGAAATCTCTGTTATTTATCTTTTATCCATTTCTATGCTTTGGTTAATATAGGTTAAGCACCCCAAATCCAAAAATCTGAAATCTGAGATGTTTCAAAATCCAAAATTGTGATCACTGACATGACACTCAAAGGAAATGTTCATTGGAACCATTTTAAATTTCACATTTTTAGATTAAAGGTGTGCATCCAGCAGGTATAATGTAAATATTCCAGAGTTCAAAATCTGGAGCATTTCTGGTCCCAAGCATTTCAGATAAAGGATTCTCAACCTGTATTTTTTAATGCTTCTGATCTCTGCTTATAATAGCAAAAGTTTTTTGGTTTTTCATGGCTAGACAATCTAAGAGTTGACAATGAACGCAGAAACTTGAGTTGAATAACTCCATAACAAAAATTCATTATGAGATTAATGTCTTGTCTTGCTCTTTCATTACTCGTATTGTCATCTCAGTAGTTGAATTTATCCAACACTTTTTTTAACTGCTGTTACACAGAAGGTTTGCTGAATTGCCATAGTATTTGTTTTACTCTAATTTTGTTTCCTTAAATATTTCCTTGAAAGAACTTTACTTTTTCTCATGTTTTAAATTTTCACTTTATGTAGTGTATCAATTATCTCTTCATGTGTAACAAACTACTCCAAAAGTTAGTAGTTTAAAACAATCACCATTTATGTGCTCTTGATTCTGTGGACTAGTGATTTTGCCTGTGCTCAACAGAGTGATTCTTCTGCTGGTCTCACTTGGAATAACTCATGTCTGCAGTCAGTCTGACAGTGCAGTTGGGCCTGGATGGAGCATCTTATTTAGAGCATCTTATTTCTCTTCTGCATGACCTCCTGGCCTCCAGTAGTCTAAACTCTGCGTTTGCATGTAATGGTAAAAACATAAGAAGGCAGAAGCAGAAACTTCAAGGCTTCTTGAGTCTTTTTCAAATTTGTAGTGTCACTTTCACCACATTCTCTTGTCATAGCAAGTGGCTAGGCCAGTCCAGATTCAAAGACTGGGGAAAATACACCGTTTATGGGAGGAGCTTTTGATAAGAAGATACACAAGCTTGAGAGGCCTATGAGTCATCATACTACACCTGGGACCATCTTGTCCACATAGTTGCTCATCTATATAAAGGAGCTGTCCAGAAGATACATGTGCAGTATGTTTCTAACTTTTGACCATAGTACTTACAAACAATGTTAGTAAAAAAAAAAAAAAATAGATAGTCAAAATTTAATAAAAATACAGGAAAACACTAGAGTAATGTAAGTACCCAAAAGATATAAATCACTACTCATTTAAAGCTCAACTGAGGAACAAGAAATATAATGAGCATATGAATTACTGTATTAATCTGTCACCAAGCAAGTGATTTAGTTCTTAGAAGGGGAAAGAAACAGTATAGCCTAGACACAACATGCCTGGCACTCAGCTTATGACATAACTTATTTATTCCTCGCTGCAGTTTTATGAAATGGACTATCATCTCCCCTACCCCCATTTTCAGATGAGAAACAAAGGTTCAGTGACTTCAAGGAACTCGCTTAAAGTTGCATAATAAGTAATGTGGCTATAAGTTGAACTCATAGCTTTTTGACTCCAGAGCCAATACTAGACTTTCTCATGTGGCTTCCCAGCATAAGTCATTTTTATATCATAAGAATGTAAAATTGATGAATACTTGTATTAGAGGGTACATTGATATATTGATTTCTCTGCTGCATGTTACCACCTTGCAATATTTAAATCTGGAAATTTTTAGTTGAGTGATTCTACATATATAATGAAGAAAGGAAGAAATGTTGCCGTATATTTTAAGTCCACAATTATAAGTCTTAATAAATGAAGTAAAGAATTTTTATTAAAGATAGTGAATACCCATTGTATGACACAGTTCTAACAATACTGATTTCTTACAATTATATGTTCTAGATATAGTAAAGTGATACTGATAAAAAACACAGTAAAGAAATCTCTTTTTTTGCCCCCTGGAATTTTATAAATTGCATTTGCTTGCCCAATTTAGGAAGCGCTACAGAAATGAAGGGAGTCCCAGCCCTAGGCAGTCACCCAAGCGTCGGCGTGAACATTCTCCTGATAGTGATGCCTACAACAGCGGGGATGATAAAAGTAAGCAGGGTCTTGTTTTCTATGTCTCTACATTCATACTCATTTGTAACCATGAGACTGTTCTTTGATCTTAGTAGGAGCTGATGAATTAAGATTTTTTTTGCAGCTTTCTTGCTCTGCTGCCTCTGAATACCTCCTTTTGTAACTAAAGTATGTTAGAAATATAGTCATTTTATCACAATAGCACTGTCATTTCTTACTATTTTTAGTAAAGCCATGTATTTATTTTTACTGCTATTATTGCCACTTAAAAAGTTTTAAAATGAAAAGTGAGAGATTGGCTTATTATTATTTATATGTAATGTGCAATATTTATTAACCTGGTAAAATTGTGATTGCTTTTGTGTTTTATGAAGATGAAAAACACAGACTCTTGAGCCAGGTTGTACGACCTCAAGAATCTCGTTCTCTTAGTCCATCACACCTCACAGAAGACAGGCAAGGTAGGTGGAAGGAGGAGGATCGGAAACCAGAGAGGAAAGAGGGTTCAAGGCGCTATGAAGAACAAGAACTCAAAGAGAAAGTTTCTTCTATAGATAAACAGAAAGAACAGATGGAAATCATGGAAAGCTCAAGAACACGTGCACAGGACATTATAGGACACCACCAGTATGAAGATCGAGATACATCTGATCGAACTCATGATGAAAACAAGAAAAAAGCAAAAATTCAAAAGAAACCTATTAAGAAAAAGAAAGACGATGATGTTGGAATAGAGAGATGTAACACAGAGACACCATCTGAAGATGTTCAAGTGTTTTCACCCAAAAAAGGACAGAAGAAGAAAAATGTTGAAAAGAAACGTAAAAGATCCAAAGGTGATTCTGATATTTCTGATGAAGAAGCAACCCAGCAAAGTAAGAAGAAAAGAGGCCCACGGACTCCCCCTATAACAACTAAAGAGGAATTAGTTGAAATGTCGAATGATAAAGATGGCTCTCTAGAGGATACCCTGAAAAAAGAAGATATAGCATTTAGTGACTGGTCTGATGAGGATGTGCCTGACCGCACAGAGGTTGCAGAAGCGGAGCATGCTATCAGCGCTGCTACTCCTGGTAGCACCCCTTCTCCTCTGTCTTCTCTTCTTCCTCCCCCACCTCCTGTGGCCACTGCCACCACCACAGCTGCTCCTGCTACTCTTGCAACTGCTGCTACTGCTACCACCTCCTTCAACACATCTGCTACCACGATTTCCACTTCTGCCACCCCCACCAGTACCGCCAGTGCTACTTTTGCCAATGAAGACTCACATAGAAAATGCCACAGAATGCGATTGGAAAAAGTAGAGACACCTCATGTTACTATAGAAGATGCACCACATCGCAAGCCAGTGGATCAAAAGAGGAGTAGCAGCCTTGGGAGCAATCGGAGTAATCGTAGTCATACATCTGGCCGTCTACGCTCCCCATCCAACGATTCTGCCCATCGAAGTGGGGATGATCAAAGTGGTCGAAAGAGAGTACTGCACAGTGGCTCGAGAGACAGAGAAAAAACAAAAAGCCTGGAAATCACTGGAGAGAGAAAATCTAGGATTGATCAGTTAAAACGTGGAGAACCCAGTCGAAGTACTTCTTCGGGTAATAAAATCAGATCGTGATCTAGTCAGTGTTTCCTATGTTAGTATATTTTATACAAATTATAATTCTAAAGTAATACTAAATTGATTATACACCACCTTAAATTTTATGGAACTTTTAAAACTTAGTGGGCCCATTAAAATGTTACCTGTTAATCACTTTAATACCAACATTATAACAGAAGTACATTCAATGGTGTTAATCAGTTTAATATCAGGTTTTTACTAGTATATCTTGGGGAAAGGGCTTATGTGTTCAAGTCCCTTTTTGATGCCTACAATTTTCCTACTAGTCTTCGTATAGCCAGTGCTGCCTCTTTTGACCACAGAAAATAAGATAGGGGAATAGGGAGAGATCAAATAATGAAATAATCAGTTCTATTAATGCCTAACCATTTTATTATTTATTTCTTTGAAGATATTTTGTGGTTATAGTGGAAATTAGCACTTTAATTGACAGAGATCAGTTTTTCCTTAAAATAAGTTTTTTGGATATATATATAGAGAGAGGGAAAAATGTGTACATAGAATATAAAAATACATAGAATATGGAAAAAGACAAATTGTGAATTTTAAAGGATCCTAAAATGAAGCATTTTTTCTATTTTATCATGTTTTAACTTTTCGTATATGGTATATTTATTTTAGATCGCCAGGATTCAAGAAGCCATAGTTCAAGAAGAAGTTCTCCTGAGTCAGATCGACAGGTCCATTCTAGATCTGGGTCATTTGATAGCAGAGAGAGGCTTCAAGAACGAGATCGGTATGAGCATGATAGAGAGCGTGAGAGAGAGAGGAGAGACACAAGACAGAGAGAATGGGACCGAGATGCTGATAAAGATTGGCCACGGAACAGGGATCGAGATAGACTGCGAGAACGAGACAAAAGGAGAGACTTGGATAGGGAGAGAGAGAGACTAATTCCGGATTCTCTTGAAAGGGACAGGGACAGAGACAGAGACAGAACTTTTGAGAGTTCTCAAATAGAGGCTATGAAACGCAGTGAAGCAAAACTGGAGAGTGAACATGAGCGAGACCTAGAAGGCACTTCCCGAGACTCTGTATCTTTGGATAAAGAAAGAATAGATAAAGATCTGGGATCTCTGCAGGGATTTGAAGATATAAATAAATCTGAGAGAACTGAGAGTTTGGAAGGTGAGTGCCACACCCCTTTGTTATACTGATTTATTCCTTTTCAGATTTCATGGGGAAGAACTATTTTCTTTTGAAAGGTCATCCACTAACAGTCAGAATAACTCCATTCTTTTATAGGGGAAGTAGAATTCATAAGGAAAAGCCCTGTGATATTTAAAAAATAACATGTTCCCCTCAGTATTACTGTCAAGGCAGATATGATTCAGATAAGCCTAAATGAAATAAAAGATTGCTTAGATGCAATGTCTATAGATGTTAAAGAGTAATTGTCACTTCTCTTTCTTAGATGTTGAAGTCACAAAAATTGAAATGACTTCTTAGTTTGGAGAGGGATTTAAATAACTATTAGTGGTCTCTGTTTTCAAAGGCAGTGGAGAACAAACATATGAAACAGTGACATTGACTGAAACCATTACACTTATTTTTCCATGGTTTTCTCCCCGACTGTACTGTATTCGTTTGTTAGGGACCATAGCTTTTCATTATCATCAAGACTATACTAAGGAGACGATAAATGGCTGATGAATGAAGATATGTTCTTCCTGTACTACATGCCTCCCACATCTTATTCCTTGGTGAATCATAACCTAAGTTAACAGTAGTAATGGCTGTGCTGAGAATTCTCCTGGAACTACTGCCTCCTTGGGATTGTCTAGTTCTGGTTTCAGTATTTATACCATTGTTCTGAATAACCTCTCCATTTCAAGCCTCAAGAACCTTCTGAGATACTTAGTATATAAGCAATATGTTGTTATTCTTTTTATTTGCCATATAACATTATAATATTAGGCCCATAGTAAAATCTGCTTTTAAAAGTGGATCCTTATATCTCTGTTATCTGATTAGATAGATAGATATCTCTGTTTCATCTGTTATGTATTTTTCCTATTTGACTTGTCAAAAACATGTCTACCTCAGCTTTCTTCACTTTTCATTTTCATGTCAATTTTGAGTGTAGCATGATTTGAATATAGCATCAAATCATGAGCAATGGTTCTAGTGGATGTACAACCTTGGGATTTAATAGAGTATAATGGAGCTAATTATTATATTAGCTCTCTTGCGATTGGAAGCAGTGTTCCTTATCTCTAAAATATATCATCTGCTAGTTACGATCACAGACAATATAGCATAGAAATACATAGGTGAATCACCTGCTGTGTGATATAAATATTTTATTCACATAAAGCAAGAAAATAAGTTTCATGAACTTGAAAAATTAAAAATCCTATTATGTGCATTTGTGTTTAAATGTATAATTTCTATGACAAAGTTATAAAAATTGGTTACCTTAGAGGTAAGTTGGTGGGGATATGAGATTATTATAGAATTTAATAGAATAGAAAATTATTAGAATGACTAGAAACATAGCTTCTTATATTTTATATGCTGCAAATTCATACATAAAGTATACTGTTATATTTTGAAAACTAGTATT